ATTAAAAATATGACGAACATTAGCGCGATATGTTTTTTATATTGTTACAATACCAGCGCGGGATAAAGTTAAACGAAAGCGGAATAGTATAAACAGCGCTTGGCTGGAGCTGTCGCGTTGGCCGGGTGACGAAGAGGGTTCTTCTTTTTCTCATATCTCCGGGAAATATCAAAAGAAAGTTTCGAGAAACGTGTATAAATATAGGCAGTTAAGTGGTTAATACAACCGCCGCCAAAGCGGGAAAGTGCGACTTCGAGAAGGCAAGACGTGTGGAGAGCACTTTTACACCGGTTCGGTTTCGGTTTCACTGGTGTTACTAATCTGGGAAATTCGTTCGAATTACTCAATTTGTTGTAGAAGAAAGTACCCGATACGCGTAAACGCACGTTCTTTGTTTGTAAACATAAACACAAGACTTAGATCTGCACAATTATCTATATAATTCGTGGTACTTGATGTATCGAAACGTTAACCGAAAAACAGAAAAACCGTCATTACCGGAAGTTTATACGGCGAAAGATGAGAAAAACGCCAGACGATTACTGCTTGTTGGAAAATGTAACTGAATACTTTGGAAAAAGGTAAGAACATGGCGATGCAAGAATCATTTGGTTTTACGATTCGGCATAGAAAGTGTCCATTCGCTTTCATTGGCCACTTGTAAATAGTGTCGTTAATCTAGCATTCTTCTCGCATAGATTAATGAACTAGAACGCGAGAGTAAATGGCAAGTATCTGTCGCCTGTCAAATAATCTACTTCACAGAACGTTCTTATTATTTTATTAAAATCTAATTCGCGTATTTTTCTGTATTAAATCTAAAGCGTGTGTAAAGAGATTTAATATTAGAGTACAAATTGAAATAAAACATTTTCTGTAAACATTCTTTAAAATTAAATTCATAATGAGAAATTGTTATTGCAAACTAGATATTATTAAATAAAATATTTTACGAGGGTTATAAAAAAAGTAGCAGTAACTTTGATATTAATAGAGATAAATAATGTGTAAGTAAGAAATGTAAGAAATCCTGACAATGAGAGACTAGTCTGTATAGAGCAATGGAGCGTGATGCAAAAAATCTTTTTCGTGGAAACTGTTGCATTTTTCTCGAGGGGATGGGTCGTGATTAAGCGTTTCACGTGTTGCCTCGGCTTTAAACCAGTAGGTAGCGTGGTTCATTCCTGGCAAATGAGCAGTATAACATTCGTAATTATGCCGCAAAACAATAATGATCGTTTAAGCGTAGATAATTGTCACGAATAAGGTATTGCAAGGCTATAAAGATTCAGCTGCTTAAACCGGCGAAAGTCGTCCACGGTGTATAAATAATAGTGGGATACCTATCCGTTTAGATTCAGTATAGATCGACCTATCGTCTTGATCGCAAAGGCACTATTATGGGACACCAGGTATTTCGACCGTTTCTATATCGTAATATTAATTTTTCTTTGTAATTTAATAAACTTTATAGTTTATGTCACTATCCCGTCTGTAGAATAAATTATCTAATGGTTAAAGAAATCTAAACATTTAAATTTGATATAAAGTATACTATAAATAAATTTTATTATATATTAAACATATTAAAGAATATTTTTTTAATTTAGTTTTACGTAATAAATTTCTTTAAACAGCGGAAGTATCTAATAGCATTTTTGTGCCTCGGGATTGCCCTTACATCGTCGGCGAGTCGTAAAGAGGAACTCGAGAAAGCTGCCGAGCTCGCAGTAGAAAAGGCAGCCGAAAGGGCGGCCGAGAGGGCAGTAGAAAAGGCTCTCGACGGCGGGAATACTACAACGGAATCCAAACTTATCCGCGAGTCTTATTCCAACGTTAGAAAAGATCCGCGCAAAGAGAAGAAGGAAGATGACGATTTTGGCGATAGCGGCGAATCGCCGGTGAACGATGAAGTGGAACCAGAAGAAGACGCGGACGATTGGAGCAGATATTCACAAGACTCGACATTCGCGCCTCGACGCACGAGAGACAAAGATTTTCATGCATGGTCCAGGAAGACTGATTTCAAGGGCACGACGGACACCTGGCAAAGATTCCCGAGAAGCGAATGGTCCCATGAGGACACGAGTTGGGATAAACCGAAGGAGAAGATCGTAACCGTGGAAAGGAAAGTGCCGGTACCTGATGTGACAATAGAAAAGAAAATTCCGTACTCGGTCTACGAGCACGTTCCTTACGAGATCAAAGTACCCGTATCGCAGCCATACATGATAGAGAAAAGGGTGCCTCACCCAGTCAAGGTCTACATGAATGTACCGGTTGATATCCCGCAGCCTTATCAAGTTGAGAAGCAAGTTCCTCACGCGGTGAATAATTATAACAAAATTTTGAAAAATTTCAGAGAAAGATACTTCAGCGATTAAAATAGCTCTTTCAATTCACAATATATACATAACATGCAAACTACAATTTTGTCACAACACATTACGTAAAGTTATTTTATTTAATATTTTTTCATTAATATATAATCATACTTTTATATTTTTGTCAATTATATTGTACAATATTTTACTAATGTGACAGAAGAATATTCGATTGTTGAATAATATCAACTTGTTTATGTAAATTTCAGATTAAAATGCATATGTACATGTTACAATCAAGATATTTTTTTAAGTTATAGCGTAATTAGAAGTATCATTTCTTTAAAGTGATATGCGATATTCGAGAAAGTTTAGGATCTCTAATTGAACGATCACATGACTAATTTCTAAGTTTGCAAGTTGAAATTAACTAATCGTCTTTTTAATTATATAACACGAAACTCTCTAACAGATTTACGCAATAGGATGTGCGTATATGTATTTTCATTGGTTAATATGAGTTTATTTAATTATTAATTTCAATGTATATCTATAAATAAAATCAAAACATGACTAAAGACACTTCCCTAATTAGTTTCCTACATAGTCACTTCTCTGTCTGCGCTCGTCGGAGGAGAGGAAGTGGAGGACGGTCGTAAAACCGTAATACGTGACACCTGCACCGAATTTTGCATTTCTGGCTAACGACTCGGTAACTGGAGAAAATAAAATCTTTTTGCTTGTTTGCTTTAACGTAATCAGAATAAGAAAATCACGTAGCATAATAAAAATATTTTTCTAATTTTTTTTATTTTTACATATTTATAAATCATTAATTAACTTATTTAATGGCAAAAGAACTTTTTTATGTGGCTAATTGATTTTAATAATAGATTTTAATATTTTAAAATATGTATAGTATATTGTATATAATTTATATATTTTATTTTGTTAAAGCTTAATAAAAATATCCTCTGTAAATGCATTAACCAGTGAAAATACAATTTCTGTTGGTATCATGAAGAATCTTAGTTGTGTTTAATCTGCTCTAATTTTAACCAACGTAATGTCCGAGTACATTCACTTTTTTCTTCTTCAGCAATAATTAGTCTCGCTTACTTCTTTTCATTTTTTTCGCTATATAACTATCGTTATAGATATGCATCAATCTTTGAATGTCAAATTAAGAATTAAAATTTCGAACATGACTGCGTTTTAAATAAATGTATTTTCAGTTTTTAATCAGGTAAACTAACTCTCTAATTTGATTAATTCGTCGCACTTTTCTTTTCACGTTTTCTTCTTTACGAAATAATTATTATACAGGGCAGGCCATTTTAATTAATCGACTCAAATATCTCAAAACCCGTAAGTTTTAGAAGGAAACTTTTGTCTAAAAAGTTTTTTTCTAGAATTTACAGATTTTGAGATATTGGATTAATTAAAGTGGCTCATCCTGTATATTTTAGCCAAATTCATTAATTTTCATCTTTTTCTTTATTGGATGTCTTAAATCATATTAGTCATCTTTGCCCAAATCTCTTATTTAATTTTCCTCCTACTTTGCTACTATTTCTAATTGGTATATTTTCTAATTGCAATGAGTAATTAAATTCGCTAATACACACGCGTACGCGATAACTAGCATTGCATAAAACATCCAATATCATTTCACGTCAGAAACTTACTCGAATCCAATCTCAATTATGTTTATTATCGCCGTATACTTTCAGACGTTATCTCTCTTATATTAATGTCAAGTATTCTAAGTATTCTAAGTATCTCCCAATTGGAGCAAGTCGTCGCGAGACGATTTGCTGTGCGGCGTTCCTAGGAAGCAGCATGTTAAACGCGGTCAATCTCACATCGGAGCGCAACGTTCTAGGATCTATATCTTCTCCTTGCCTCCCGTCCCACCATCCTCTCACCGGACACTTTTCACTTTTTCTCTCCTCCTACCATTCCCGATTCTTCCTCTCGCGCTCTCCCTCGGACAGCAGGGGAGACCGTTATGCCTCCGTCGTCATGTTCCTCGTCTCGGCCGAGAGAACTCGTACATACAGATTATCGCGCGTCCTTCCGTGGGGACCGGATACGGAGGGGATCACTGCGGAATCCTGCCGGACGGTAAGCGCGAGCGAGAAACTTCTCCACGAGATGGAAAACGGCGGAGAGAGATTGGCTGGTTAGGAAGAGGAGGGCAATGATAGCGAAGGAGGAATCTACGTCCAGTGGCGTAGGTGGACAGGATCAAAAGGACGAAAGATCATTGAAGTCGTGATAGGAAAATTGCGAGGTCGATTTGTGTGGAGATCATGTAACGTTATTTATCAGAAGAGCGTAACGCAACATTGCAACGAAGAATGCTTCAGAGAATTTAAAGAGATCTTTTTTATAGACATTAATTTTTTCGGCTAAACGTTCTCTCAATTACACCAGAATTTCTGGAGTATTATATGATAGTGATAGAATTTACCATTCACTTTTAAACACCTCTTCTTACGCGTTTATTTATTTCGACTGAGAAGTAGTTGTAAAACATTCTCATTCTCGACGAATGTACTTTCTAATTTTGATTCTTTTTAACACTGCAGTTGGAGGAATTTCCGGTGTTCTGTAATTTTCCGCAGTGGCTACGCCGTTGGCCGCGATTATGGAAGCACCGTAGACTTGTGTCTAGGATTTATAAAAAAAAAAAAAAAAATGCCATAATGCGCCGTGTACGGGCGAACGCCAGACGCGCGCGTGTTTCACTTTTCCGCGAGAGTGCAGAGGGGCTCGCTCGATACATGCCGGGGGAAAGCGGGCTATAAAGACAGTGGCACCTTGGGGGGAAGCATTCAGTAAAGTCTCTGGACATTGACCAGATCGTGAGAGACTTGATAGACATGAGAATTTTGGTAAGTTCGCTCTCTCTTTCTCGTCGGGGCGAAATTAGTTGCACTTAGATCCGCGAATTAGCTTCGCTTTAGCCATCTTTCCCGCATCACTTTGTCGAGGTTAATTTTATTTCAAGTAGGCATATTAAGAGTAGCCGTGTGAAGTGTTAGCTTTTAAACCAAATTATTCATAAAATTGCGATTTAAATTAATTAATATTGCTTCGACATTGCAACAAAAATAAATATAATAAAAACAATCAAACAATTTTAAATCATAGCTGAAAAATCTTATGTATTTCATGTAATCTGCTGTAAATATTGTACAGTCGAGGCCGTTAATAACTATGTTTACCGCGCGCGTAGCATTCTTTCACGGTCCAAGAGATAGTGCATTGATGCTGCAAGAGCAAGTGACTGATGTAATCGGCGTGACGTTTCTATCGATTACAGTTTCTCACGGTATTAGCGGGGCTGCTGGCCTTGGCCGTGTGCGAGAAGAAAAAGGAGATTACTAGTAAGAAGACCGAAAATGCCGAAGGCGAGAAAAAACAGGATAAGCGCGGGCTGAGTCACATCGAGGCAGACTATGGAGGACACGACGACGGTGGTTACGGGGGGGACGGTGGTTACGGGGGAGACGGTGGTGGCTTTGAAATTGGCCACGATATCGGCGGCGGAGATATTGGCGGCGGAGATATTGGTGGTCACGACATTGGCGGTGGTTACGGCGGTGGCGGTGGTTACGGCGGTGGCGGTGGCGGTGGCGGCGGCGACGACGGTGGCAAGATCAAGCAGATCACGATCGTGAAGACCGAAAAAATTCCCTATCCGGTCGAGAAGAAGGTGCATTACCCCGTAGAGAAAGAAATACCGTATCCGGTTAAAGTGCCGGTACCGCAGCCCTATCCGATCGAGAAGAAGATCCCAGTGCCGGTGAAAGTTTTAGTAAAGGTGCCGATACACATACCGCAGCCCTATCCGGTCGAAAAGAAGGTGCCCTATCCAGTTCACGTGCCGGTAGAAAGGCCGGTACCCTACAAAGTTTATATCCCTCAGCCCTATCCGGTCGAGAAGAAGATACACTATCCTGTGAAAGTACCGGTACCACAACCATTCCCAGTGGAGAAGCCCGTGCCGTACACCGTGAAAGTTCCAGTGCACGTAGCGCAACCCTTCCCCGTGGAGAAACCGGTACCGTTCCCAGTGACAGTGCCCGTCGAGCGTCCCTACCCCGTACACGTAGCTAAACCCTATCCCGTCCCAGTTGAAAAACCAGTCCCCTATCCGGTCGAGAAGAAAGTTCCCTATCCGGTCAAAGTTCACGTAGAGCGACCGGTAGGAGTGCCTGTAATAAAGCCAGTGCCTTACCACGTTAAAGTACCGGTACCAGCCCCCTATCCAGTGGAGAAGCATGTACCTGTACCAGTCGAAAAGCCAGTGCCCTACGCTGTAAAAGTGCCTGTTGAACGACCCGTGCCGATCCACGTGACGAAAACGGTGGCAGTGCCGATCCCCAAACCCGTCCCCTACGCCGTTAAAGTGCCGGTGGCGGTGCCAGTGCACGAGCACGACTCCGGAATCTCAGGGGGAGGTGGTGACTACGAGTCTAGTTTCGGGGGACACTCGCATTATTAATATAAAAAAGCGTGACAGTGGAGGATTTTTTGCTTCGCGGTTTAAAGAGAAATTAACGAGAGGGAAAGGGAAAAACGCGTTGAGATGAAATAAATAATAATCAAAAGGGAATTTGTCAATTCGACTCCACGCGATTTCTATCACAATGTTGTACATAAAAAAAAAAGCATTGAAATGTATATATTCGTGGGAAAAACTAGAATTAGATCAGCGTGTTAATTTGTACAAAATAAATTCGGGGTGTAGATAGACTAGGACCCATAGAGGGACCCGACTTTTGCAAATTCTCCACTGCGTCGTACGAGCGGACGCATCGGCGGATGTATCATGGAATTTCGCGCGATAAAATTTCTTCTACATTTCTTTTCAAATGCGAGGAGGAAAGAGCAATGTGACTCATCGTAACGCGGTCAACGGCTGATCTTTCATACGGGAGCGTTAACGAAGCGTTTCCTCGGCACTCGCGAGTCTCGAATTTATCGTTCGAAGTGCGAGAGTCCGCGAGGAAAACGCGGACGTATTTATTTTCCTAGCTTAACGTCGTTCTCGCCGCGGGATTCGACGTGGAAGATGAGTTTGCAGAACAGCCGTTTTGCGCCGCGAAAGGTGATTATGGGTCTCCGAGTCTGCTTAGACAGCGCTAACGATTTCTTAGATGTATAGTATCGACACTTAAGTACCTACGAGAACACATGTACTGTGTTTTCTTACGACGTTTGGAACATGTAACGGACATCTCTGTAACGATGTCTTTCGCTTCTTTTTAATAAAAACCAAAGAGCAAAAACGACAGCCTTGGAATTCATCCTAGCCTGATTGCTATTCTCTAGAGGAGATCTACAAACGTGTTTATTATTACATGCCTGTCCTTCTTTAATAAATCATGCATACTAAGCAATTTGCGGCTCTTGTACTCCTTTCCCCTGCCAGCGAAATTGAATTAGGTATCAAATTGATATTCAGCTCAGTCTGGATATGTCAGATTTCTTTAGGCATTCATTGGAGATCGAGCAGCTGAATGGTAAAGTATCGATTTATGCATTACGAGACAAAGATTTTCCCGTGTGCGTTTATCATGCCCGGCGTCAACATCCTTGAACTTCGCGTAGCGTGACGAATTATTTATATCTTCGATCGCGTGCACTCGATAGTGCACGATATTCGCTTCGCTCGAGCGGTGTTTGATTGTGACCGAGGCGCTATTCCGGTTTCTTGTTCCGGTAGGGAGTCGGAATAAGGTAGAGCCGGCGAAAGTCATTTTCGTAATTTCGGCCGCGACGTAGCACACGCGGAAATTCATCCGGTAATTAGCGCCGCTAAAGTCTCTATGCGTAATTAAGCCTCGTACGGACGATGGAAATAGGACTTTCCTTTTATCTAGCATGACTAACGAAGGAAAGAGCGCATACGTAACACTTCCGATTCGATGATATCAGCGTCCTGTTCTGCTTCGCGATCTATCATTCGGATCGCTCAGATATTAGACCGACTCGTTCGCGCATTGTACTAGTTACAACGCGTGTAATGAGAGTCGGAGAAAGGGCTCCCCCGCGCCTCTCTTTCTCTTCATCTATCAATGAGCAGATTACGAGAGAAGGGGTGCACGGGATCGCGAATCAAAAGTGAAATCGCGCCGATCTCGTGCGCGAGGTGCGCGGCTACGCAGAATTGTTCGCAACGGGATTACCCGCTTCGGGCGTATTGGAAACTACATATGAAAGTACGCAGGTGTTCTTTTATTGCCAAATCAGCAAGACCAGACTTGCTGAAATAACAACGTATTCTGCTGAACGTACATGCTATATGCAGTTTATCAATCAGATATTATTGTAAGAGACAATATTATTGTATAAGGTTTTTCCCGTTATTATATTATCGCAATTTTCCCACGTGTCCATAATTTTAATTACCACTGTCGTAATTACCAAGATCGTCGGAAGAGTTAGAAATTGACCTCAGGTAATAATTATCACATCTACGCGAGACGATCGATCGTTGGAAACGAATCGCCACGAATTAAAATGACATTTGAATATAGCAAGTACTCACCGTATGTAGGGGATATTGGCGGGGATGTGATACTTCGCGCCTGGATCGAAATCGTCCTCGGATCGCAGAACCGGCGGCTTCGTGCCCGTGTACTGCTCCTTCAGCCTGTGCCAGTGACAATTGTACTCCTCCTTGTTGACGTAGCCGCGAAAGACGTCCCACCGCCACCTGTCCATCGCGATGCTGAAGGGCAGTAGCACCAGTTTATCCATCGCCAAGGAGAAGAGGTAATTGATGTCCGCGGAGCGCTCGTCGATGAACGTGTTCGCCAGGCCCAGAGTTTGCAGATGCTGCGGCGTCGCGACACTCAAGGCGACGGCTTCGCCGACCGCCTCATGGAATCCTGGTAATTATAGTAATAACTTTAGTACAACAGTATAATAAATAAACAGTCGCGAAGACCGTCACGTTTGTTCTCTTCGACAGTTATTGAAGAACGTTTTAGTTGCAATAGTTTTCATAATAATAGTAATCAGTGCGTTAATATTATCTTCATGTTATTACGTACATGTTATATTTATGTATGAGTAATAAAAGGTCTTTATTTTATTTCGAAAGCTATGAACGAGATAATCCTCGGTACGACTCGATTTCAGATTTCGAGTTTTCCGTCACGGATGTTTTGAAAGAGTTTGGCTATTTGATAAAATCAAACGGTGAAAGTCGACGTCAGATGAAACAGATGGCTTGTCGTTGAGTTCCGTTTACAATTATTGCAAAGTTTCTCGAGGCTCTCCGCGGATAACCCGGTGACTTTTTCGCTTCATGTGTTTAGCACTAACCAGGATGTAATTACGGTTAGCGGCGATTAGTCGAGCGTGATAGATGATGCTGATTATTTTCCTTTTTTTAACTAAGTTTTCTCATGCAAACCGCGAACACGCCTAACGCCTCAAACGCATAATTAGTCGTAACGCGATTTTATAACTCGGAATTCGCGTTAATTAGGCATTCCAGATGCACGAAAGTATGGAATGCAGATGAAAATCTGCGATAAAAATTATTCGCGAATGTAGACGAAATTTGTTGCCGAAGTAAACGACGAAATAATTCTGAATCGCGCTCTCGACAGGAGTGATAAATCGTCTACGCGACTGAGGCTGAATCAAGGTACATAGATTTTACGCTCGCAGAATTTTTGCAAAACCGATCGAACGATCGGCAAGGCCGTCGTCGTTGCGAGGCTGTTCTCGTTGATTCGAAACAATCCGTGTTCCGGTGTGAGGCGAACGACCGAGCCCGGCCGGCCGGCCGTTGCTACGGTGAAAGCGCGATTATACCATAATAAAAATATTTTAACGTGCGGTCGACGCCAATGTACGCGAGTAACATCCACTCGTTTATTCGCGTACCGTAGCGCGCAGTGTACACCTCGAGCGTGTCGTACTCGCTCTCGCTTTCGCGCTATTAGCCGTAAGACGCACACAGGTCGGCTGTGCCTTCCGGAAGTCGGCCTGAAGCCGGACCCGTCGCGCTTACGTAAGCGCGTTGTCGTCTGTCCGGCACGCATGCCATTATCACCGGCCGTCTCCTATCCTTTTGTCCTAGTCAAGTTTTTCTTCCCGGCGTGATGCAATTGCTCATTATTGTAGTCGTGCATCATACGAAATATCAGTGTCATTGAGAACGAATGTTGACATCCCGCAAGCGTTTTAAAACTGTCTTAATCTTTTTATGTTATTACTTATTTTATATTCATTTACATATTGCGAAAAATAGAGATTGAGACGTAGAAAAAATACTGTGTAATTTTATTTTGATAACTATTCCGCTGCAAAAAAATTGTTTTGCATTTTGCGATTTGTTTTGCTGTCTTATTTTTAATTTCTATTGTGCTCGATTTTTTTATCTTCTGAGTTTCGTAACAATTATACTAATTGTATCTGTAAGATTTTTTAAATTTGAATTATTTTAAAATTTATCTAGTAAACTTGAACTTCAATTTACACAATATAATCGCGTGCAGTCTGGTTATGTTACGATTTTGTTAGATTTGTATTTCTATTTAATGCGATAATTATAGAATATACGATAGAATGAAAATTTCGAATGTATTTTCATACCTGGATTAGCACCGTCACGAAATTCGCGAGGTAGACCGCTGTACCGCAAGAAATACTGAATGTGTGCCATTTCGTGATGTAAAGTTATCAAATCCTTCATCGTCACCTTTGTACACATTTTGATTCTAAACATAAAAATAACAACATACTAAAAACTCTTATTCTTATTTCGTAATCTTCAAGGTATGAGACTAACACGTAAAAGTTTAAACGTTTTCAAAAAGAAAAAAACGCCTTTGCTGATTTCAATGTAACAGTGTAACATCAATTAATTGATTACTGTACATATTATAGACTGTTATTGATAAACGTATCAACCTGTAATCTATGCGATTGCAAAAGTCCCATGCGGACGCCTGGCAGATTAATGGGCGGTCACCAGGATCGGCGATTACGCTTCCGGCCCAAAATTCCGGCGGCATTGCGCTCAAGTTCAAGGACAGATAGAATTCCTCAGCTACCCGAATCATGTCGATGGGTGTATAACCCTAATTATAATAACACGGCTATTAATATTAGTTACACATAGTAATTAGCAATATTAATTATATCCTTTATATAAAGAATATAATATAAAACATTGATTATAAAATAAAAAAGGTGAAGGGGGATTTTACTTGAGCCCGCATTTCCTGCGTGACATCAGGGTATGTTTTCCCGGGATACGGCAAAGTAACATCTAAAAGATTGGTCCAAGACTGTCCCCATATGTTACCTATAAACATTGAGTAAAGAACGATGTAGTTACAGATAACTGACACGTAAGTAATTAATTAATAGTTCGTTGCTAATGGTATATGCATAGTGTAAAATATTCAAAATTCTGAAATAAATATTTCATCCCGTGTTGCTCTTACCGAGGACGTGAGACGGAAGAGGCGCGTGTCCGCCAATTTTTTCAGGTCCGTAGAGATCTCTCAACTTTTTGCGAATATAAGCGTGCAATTCTTCGTAAAGCGGACGTATAGTTTCCCAAGCCTCATCAATGTCCTGTTGGAAATTAGGAGATTCGTAGGGAAACATCCAATATTCGGCAGCATCAGTGAAGTCTATAAAAAGAAATAACAGTGTAATATTAATCCTCAATCCGGAGTAGCTATCAATAAGACATAATTAACGCTTATAGTTTCCATGTAATGTTCTATGTATTAATTAATCTGAACGTAATAATCTTGTCACTCGCTGTAGATTAAAAGTGTAAAAAATTCCTGACGAAAAAACAAAATTCAACACTTATAATCTTTTTACAATCTCGCATGAAGCGAAATTATATGCTGATCGTCTTCGTCAGCATTATAGATTTCATTTAACGCGTCATACTTCCGGCATAGAGGTAAAATTAGACGTACTATTCATTCTTGCAGCATCATTGGTCAGCGTAATGAGTTGTTGATACAGATCCCTAATCGGCCTGCCGCTTCGTCTTCTCCACTCAGTCCAGACGTACTGCAGTTCGTCCCAGTCCCGACTTCTCGCCATGATTTGCGATATATCTATAATAAAAAACATAGTGTTAAAATTTATACTTTTTAAATATACATCATGTATCATTTGTAAAAGATATTTTATCAAATATCTCGCGAGTAACTTTTACGTTAATCACGTACATATTTTTAACAAATTTTAGATTTATTTTAAAACACCGGTAGCACAATAACACTCTTTTTCTCATTTTGGAGAATTTTGGAGTAAAATTTATCTAATAATAATATTAGTAGCCTACTGAATGAAATATTAACGATAGCAAGTGTTGTTTGTCAAGTATATTTATTTGTCAAAATTATTGATATGGACCGTAAATTTTTTCATTGAGTTGCTTAAATTCAGACCTTTGCCCTCGAGGCTCAGGCGCAGTCAACTATCATTTCGTGGCACACGCTAGATTCGAGTGAGTAATTAAATTCTCATATTAAATTATGTTCAACCGTGTAGCGTCTTTGCTCAATTAATTAAGTGTTTGCTTTCTATTTGTGCATGTTTTATGCCTCAGGTTGTGTTCGTTTCGCGTCTAAATGGGCGTGCACGGGGGATTTACATTAAACATAAGAATAACAGACAATTAGAGGCTCATACAGCGCGGCACAGTGGTTTTCATAAATTAAACGGAAAAGAAACAGGGAATCTCCTTACCCCCAGAGAAGGAGGGGGGACTTGCGCTCGCTCGCGTGACGTATCCTATTTTCTTCACACTTTCATGCGCATTTTAGACTTACGTAAATTCCCCCGCGGAATTTCGCCGCGACGAACCGTGAACGATGCCGGCGCGGCGGCATCGTGCCGATCCAATCGTTATTCAGCGTAATTCGTAATGTATTACCTGGATATAAACGTAGCCCACACCGGAACGGATCGTTGTAAGCGCATATGGTCGCCGCGTTGTAAATCGCAAGCATGTCGTTGATTAGACGATTGTACTGCGAAGAAATAATTTTATTACTGCTAACAATATTTACTGTCACGTACATTGTCAGTTAAATAACGATATAAGTGTTATAATTGCTTGTATAAATAAAGCTAGTGTTTACCCTGTCCAGTTGGTCAGGTGGCAGTGCCGAAGGGCCCACGGCGGACAAATAACGGAGTCGTCGCCTGATTATGGGATCTCGAATTGAATTTACGTCGATTCTGGAGATTAAAAGCCAAGCTTGGTATTGGAAGTCCGCATATAAGCGTTGGGCGTCCAGCTGAAAGCATAAGGCAAAAATATTGAAAATAATTCTTATGCGAAACAAAAAAAAATGCTTTTTTATTACACTCACAAAGAGATAGATAAATTATTCTTTTTTTTTATTTTTCTTATTTTCAAATGATAAAATTAGTGTTGTTTTGTATTGAATTTCAATTGTATTAATTACATGACGTAAGAAAACTAATCTCTCGGCGACTGATTAGGAAATGTTGCAGTAAAACACGAATCGGCGAACGACGGTTTTACCGTTAGAGATAAAACCGTCGTATCTATGTTCTTCCTGACCAGTAACCTGCATTCAAAGAAAAGTAACTAAGAAAGTAAAATTGCATTTGAACCTTTGTATTATTTAAAACGTACACATTATTTATTAAGGTCTGATTATACGATTATCATGTAATATATTACTTTTACAGACAATTTGTAATTTATAACAATATTTATGTACATGGTATATTTATCATTATATGAAAAACCGCATAGCATCGCATAATACACGAGTGCCAATTCTGGTTATGTGTTACGTGGTATATTTCCACATACAATGACAGTACGCGACATGCGTAAAAGGCATCAACAAAGCAGATGTCACGTAATATGCGCAACATAATCTTTATCATCTGATTGCTACGAGACACCGAGACAATTCATAGATTTAAAAAAATATATAATTAATTACTTTATAATTATTTGCTAATACAAAAATCAATTTGCTTATAAACAACCTCGACGACCAGTCATTGATTCTTCCCATGGGATAATGAGCCGCAAGGCGGTGGCTCGCCGTCCATCGACGTTCTCCGCGGAAAAGGAAAACGGCGCGGGCGCCTCAATTATTGTTAACGTCACGCGACGCGAGCCTCGCTGGCTTCGCATTGAAAAGTACAAAACTCCCGTTTCTCGGCGATACGAGACGGCCGGGCGTGCATTGCACAATCGTTCGGGATGATTATCACGACAATGGCATCGCCTGGGAAGATTTCCCGCGGAGGCGTTCGGCCTTTCGCGGACAATGCGAGCAAGTCTCGTGCCAGGGAAAATCGTAGTCGCGACGCCAGCCAAGTAGCGTCGGTTCGCCGGTCGATTGACAAGTCAATGTGTGAGGACGCCACGAAGAGTCACGGGAGGATACCGAGAGGAGGTCGAGGTCCCCTCGAAGACGTTTCGTATAGGGTGGATGAGAAATATACGATTGTACGCGTCTCATTTTCCACGGTTGTCACTGCACTTTGTTGAAAATCAAGCCTTTCTCAACTTTTGCCTTCAGAATTGCATCGCCACACGCTCCTTAATAGTAATTTGCTTTAATCTCTTGATCTAATTTTTTTTTATTTCAACAGTAATTGCCGCAGACACCTATATGCGTTTTTTATTATGATGCTTGAAAGATACGCTTGTATAGGTATACTTCTAAGCTTTAATTTTTAATGTTGATTGTAATAAAGCTAATTACTGCTGATTTGAAGTTAAAGTATTGTTTTTAAATTTTAATTAAATATTCCTGATAAATTACCATCTAGATTATGAACAAAATTAAAATCTTATGATACTCGTGATAATGATTTGCTGCGACACGTATGAAAATTTAATATCGTATTTCATAAGATAGCCTAAATTGCAAATAGAGGGACAGGTCACGCATATGCGGGTCGTGTCTTAAAGTTTCGAAATTCGTCAGCCTGGTTAACGGGAAAGTTTTGAAACTGTTTAGCGTGATAAAGTATCGTGACAAAATTCTGATTTAGCAAAATTGGAAGAAGGACGATCTTCTTTATAGATTCAATGATACTTTGATCTTACCGCTTGTAGTTGCGTGTATTCGTTGACGTTGGTTTCGTATGCCCACTGAGCTACCACATTAGCGCTACATCTCTCTGCGCCGAGGAAATCTAATCTAGCCAAAATATTCTGGTAATTTAATTCATTTGGTGGTAGTTGTCGTCCAGGATCTTCATCCCTGTACGATGGTAGTTCTCGACCAGCATCGTCCCTGTACGATGGTGTTTGTCGGCCAGCATCGTCCCTGTACGATGGTATTTGTCGGCCAGCATCGTCCCTGTACTGTGGCAGGTCCAATTGTCCAGAAACTGCTGATAATAGGCAAAGTACGAACGCTGTCCATCTTACCTAAATCATACACATTCATTATAAATAGTTTTATATGTCCCTCGACTCTATTTTAAGACACATACACATACACATACATACACAAAAGCAATCTATCTACATTAAAAACGATGACTTTAAATTATAGTCCCATATTAATTCCCTATTAATTTCCTACTAGAAAGTATTAGATTTAATTCATTACAAAGCATAAAATATTTTCTTCTTCTTCAGTATGCCATATCAAATTTCCCTGACTGCTTTAGAGAAAGCAGTTCTGATCATCATGATTGACTTGCTCACTAAAGGGTTGACTTGGGACTGAGAGCCTCTTAATTTTACATTTTTTTTCTATGTAGCAACACCCTAGGAAATAATAACAAAAATAATCTCCCGTTGCTTCTCCGGCGGATAAAATTTTTTTTTCTTAAAATAGCATTTGATTTAATTGGAACTTCTGTAAATTTTACATTTACTTTACTTCGAGTTTACTTCCAATTTTATATTAATTAATATTTTTATTTATCATTTTATTTTAATTTACATATCGTTGAATGTTTGGCATACTCTATGTATTTCTGATATTTTGGTAAATGGAGTACACGTGTCGATAGGGTTGATGAACTCGGCTACACGTGTGTGCTTATTGATTTATATCGTCCACACAAATATATGTAAATTTACCTCGTTTTCCTCGTCTTTAACCTTAAGTTTGTCATTCAAAATTATGTGGACAAGTCGCAAATAATTTATCTTGTCGCATTTTCTACTTCTGTTTACTTTGTATACATGACATGAATAGAGGGTAAAAATTTCTGAGATAATGAATCTTGTTTAGGGTAGGCGGTGCTCTGACATGTCGATAAGAAGATAAAGCGGCGTAGTTGCCAAAAAAACGAATGACCCGAATAATGACCCTTCGGTATAATGGATAACTATTTCCGCACTTTCCTTACGACGTCATTTTTAACGACTGTCACCGAATTATAATGCAAAAATAAAATCTTAAATAATTTCGAGATTGTCGAATACAGTTTATCTATACTTACAAGGTACCGGTATCAAAAAATATTATCGATTAAGCCATTGAAAGTATTTTAAGATTGCATCAAGACATATAGCAACGTGTACGAGATAATGAGCTTAGCTTTCTCTCGCGAAATAACAATTACAGTCGATTCGCGAAGCGATGGGGCCTTGCTTCGTGCAAGTAGGACTACAGTGGCAGAAATTACCGCACGCAAATTATTATGGGACCCCTCTCGCTCTTTTACAAGTTAATATAGAAACTTCATTGTTTCTCTAAATCACGCCATGACATTATGAGCTGAGCATTTATGCGCAATTCATTTGTTGGTCTCACGGTCACGTGTTACGTCTTCGCGTTACGTACTTCCTCTCAGCATGAAAGGTACATATCT